CCATTCGAACGAAGGTGTGGCACAAAGGTGGTGAAAGTGGGGGACTTACAACCAAAAGTCCCGATGGCATGCTTTTGCAACTAAAAGAATGCAGCTTGTTCCCTTTAAGCATTACAGACTCGTGCTGTTGCCTTGACGAGAGCTTTTGTATTTTCGAAACGCTTTGAAGGCTCACCGAAAAGTATATCTGTGCACTGCTAACAGACTAACTTGAGGTCTGAGAACTGTAAAGATAAAACAGTTAACTGCACCAGGCATCTTCCATCTGCACGATGCTGTGTTGTGCGGTGCAGTGCAGTGTGGTGCGGTACGGTGTGGTGCGGTGCGGTGTAGCATGACAGATCAAAGCGACAAAGCCCGTGGGCCACGGCATCGGCAACAACGGTGACGATGACGATTGTAACAATCACTACTACTTCTGGTAAAAGCAAATTGCTCTTCAGTGGCGGTACTTTGAAGTTCAGGCAGTGTCGTTCACACTAATCTGGTCACACTCATACCTGCGCACGCAAACAGGCACACGCAGGTGCCACACGCTCACTCGCTCTTAGTCCATCAGTGGAGTTTATTCCACACTGTATACACAACGTGCGATTTTTTACGTGTAGAACTCCCCTTGGAAGAGCATGCCAGGAACAGCATGAAATCGTGCGCTATGAGGGGAAAAACCGCCACCGAAAACTGGAGTCTTATCAATACAAATTCACGGATCCCAAACATGCAATAAGGATCACGAAGTAGTGATGCAGTTTTTCCGATAAAAAAATCAAACTCCACTGCTGTTTACTGATTTACACTTGCAATTTCAAATAATGCTGATTGAGTGGAAGGATTCAAATCTCTTCTGCCAGCTGATTAAATGGTACCATTCTGACACAAATCCATTTTCACTCTATACAAGCATAGCATCCTTCATGTGACCTTTATGGTAGCTCCTTTCCTTCTTTTAGAAGACTAACGACGTATCATGAATAAAAGTGCTCATTTAAAAACTATTCAAAGGCTACTGTTAAGAGGGGAAGCACTCTTTAACATGGGAAGGGAAGATAGGAGACTTGCTCTAGCAGGTAAGATAATGTTTGAAATGAGAGGAGAATACAATCAGCCGCTATCCGCTTCAAAGATCCACTACAGCTGCAGTCACAGCCACCAGCACCGGTAGAAATTAATGGTCACAATCACACCTTAGGATTGTTAGTCCACTTTTACAGCCTTCAATGCTCACTCACAACCTCCATTACCGCCATTGTGACTACTCAGATGCAGTTCTTAAATCTGCTCACCCACCAACCCACTCATTCACTAGCGCACACGCACACACTCATCTTCTCACTCTCATTGTGTCGTTTCGGTCGCAACTGTACAAGTGTGAGAAAAAGCGCCTCCTAAGTAATTATCCTTAGACGCATCAACACGGTGTGTGTGTGTGTGTGTGTGTGTGTGCATGTTTATCACTCCTCTCTTTCTCACATCGTGCCCCAAGGCACTGCTATGGGGGTTAGCTAAGGAAATGCAAAGTAGCCTGGACCTGACAGTCTAGGTAAGGAGGCTTAATTAAACCACAGACTTGCATATGCGCCAAGCCATGCTCTTGACGACTTTTGATGTCCCGCTGTCTATCAAAAAGTTTTTTTTGAGAAAGTAGTCTCAATGATAATTAAGTTAGTGCATGCTAGAGGAAAGTTATTTATCCTGTCAGTCAATGTGAGCACCAACGTTGGTATTACCTTCTCTTCCGAAGTTTGAATTACTTAATCTTGCCCATTCTCAATTTACTGTATTAAATTATGACAAATTTTTTTATAAAATCAGAATAAGGAAGAACTTTTAATTCTTCAGTCGATTATAACTTCTCATTTTGCTGACTTAACAAACAAACACGTCTGGGAAATGGAAATAGTTCGTGAGAGAGTTCAATGAAACGACTTCTCATACGATTACATCAAACAATTGCTCTTCACAGGTTCGTGCTTAACTTTCAAGAGTGTGAACGGTGTGAACTTCTTATAACTAAGTCCCAACCCCAATTGCCTTTCACCTTCACCATCTAGGGATCATTTTAAAGTGAGAATATTGAAGTACGTATTAAATAGGCGCAATTTGCGACTACAGAAAAGGTCAACGCACAGACGGCGTCGCGTTGGTTGACCGCAACCGTATATTGTAGGCTTAAAAATGGTCTCTTACGAATTCCTGAAAAAGTGATTCGGCGTAATCCTAATTTGGTGAAATGAAACAGTTGCATTATTTAGAAGCAAAAAGGGATTGGTGAACCAAGCACTAACCTCAAATTGCGAGTTTACAAAATGTTATTTCACTTAATAACGAATTATCCCAGTTCTTATTCGGAATCGAGCCTGGTTTTCAGACCTCCTTAAGCATTCAACACTGCAATCACCTGCAGTGATAGCATAAAGTCCTCATATCTTGAATGCTACAAAGTTGCATTTTACAGAGTTACTGTGGCTGGGAGCGTAACAGCAAGGAATGCTAAAAACAAATCTCATTTCCTTCATGGTGAGGCTACTTTATGTCCTCAAACGCTACTAGAGGTGAGAGAAGAGATAAAGGAATGAGCGACTCGGCTGTCAGGGCTGTCATCATGGACGTTGTGGTGTGCAGGCCTAGGTAGTGGGATGTGAGCTCCCAAATCTGCGCCATATGGCGCGATCCCACGGTGTGCGTGGATCGAGTAATTAGTGAAACCACCACCATAATCAATAATGCCGTTGATGCCCGTTCTCTCGTCCTGACACCATACCCTCTCTACCGTTTGTTCCCTGGTCAACTCTCGCATGCCACCCAGGCAGAGCCGAATGTCTTAAGAGAGCGGGCCTTCCTTTGGGTCACTCGTCCCCGGGCCCCCAGGTGGTCCTTTGTCCGGGCTTTGGACTGGAGTGGGGAGAGCAGGAGGGGAGGATGAGACTATCGGCGGCAGACAATCTGTTCACGTTAGTGAGGGTGCAGGAGAAAGCTGTTTGTTTGTGCTCACACACGTGTACGTGCTTGCGGTAGGTAGGCTGGTAAGGGCTGGGCATGCGTGTCTAGTGAGGATGGCGGAGGGGAATTTGAATTTTCCTTCATGGGAGTCTCCATTTCCTCTTATTGCCCTCTTCAGCGAGTGACCCACTTCTTCGCCATGGCTTTGCCACGCCATTGGCTATCCCTTCCCTACAGTACATTGGCTGCTGGAGTGGCACTCTTCTAATTTAAATTGTACTATTAACTATAACACTCAAGATGTATTCTACGATTACTGCGTGGACTTTAATTTTCCTGCTCCGCCTGTTAATCTGTTGTAAAAATAAATCGATCTCGAAATGTGGGCGTTCGTGACTTTCCTTGATTTTAAATAACAGAAAGCTAAGGATGGTGCCCTATACATGACCATCAGTGATCCAAGCATTAAAACGGCTTGAAAGCTGCCTCACCATCTTACTCCTCAATATTCTAAGAAAATAACTCCACCGAACTTTGCACAAAGTGGTGTTTATTGAGGCGAATAAGAGAAGTTTAGCAAAATTAATGATTAAAAACCTTTGTTGCTAAAGTGAGAGTTTATTCCTTGGTATTGAGTCACTCCTATTAACTGCTTCACTATTTTTACATTGATGCACAACCCTTTTATTCAGTAGTCTATTACTTTGCATGAAAAGAGCAGCCTACTTCAGTGATAAGTAGAATCCTCTGTTCCTTTATGATTAGTCATTCCACTCTATAACTGTAAACGCTACCAGTAGAAAGGAGAGCCTAGGAGAGTACATGCCGAAGGCCTAGAGGTCTTAAGCTTCATCACCATTGTGTTGGGATAAATAAAGCGAATGATGCCTTGAATTCTCAAAAGGCGGTCAAATGGAAGCATGTGTAAATCAACAAAGCTTGCCATTGATACCAAATGACGTGTCAACAATCTTCAGAAGACGGACACAAAAATTTAATAGATCTCTAATATCATTTCCATTTTCTGCGCCCAGAGAAAATATCTTCTGTTCTCTAAAAATGTCATGGAAATTGCATTAACTAAGACTTCAGCAAATGGCCGTGTCATCCTCCGAACAGGGCCGTTTCACTCAAACATTTGGGTCGGAAGCTGATCATGCATACAAGAGGTGTGGGTCTCTCTGGTACCCCTCGAGGGTTGGGGAAATCATAAGCTGAATTTAATTACAGTTGGAGGGTGCACTGAGCTGAGAATAATTTAGGGAACTTCCGCGACCTATTTAGAAATTTGATTTTCACCTAAACTTTTGCATTCTACCAGCTTTTGCTTAGTGTTAGTTTCAGACGCAATTTGATTCAGTGTACACTTTACCCCTACTACCGAGTTGCAAAGTCATTAGCAGTAAAACGAAGTCAAAGCCATTCAACTACAAGCTTGCTTTATTCTCTAACACTTGCAACCATGATCTCCATTCTAGAAGTTACAGTAAATGGAAGAAAAATCCTTAATTTTCGACAGTCAAACATGTAACTGAACAGAGTCGCACAGGGCAGGTGTATCCAACCATGCAGCTAAAGGAATATCGAGAAGTAATGTCAACTTTTTTAACCCGATACTCACGCCCGGGAATTATATGAGACCTAATCGCAACCAATTGCGACATTTCCAACTAATTGCAATGTAGGACATTCTTAAATATTTCTGATAGCAACGAAAGGCGTGATACTAAGTAGCTAGCGGCAACTCGTACAAAGGCTTCTCATGAAGTTGCGTAGATTTCAGCACTCACACTTAAATGCGGTCTCACACGCACAGCCACTCTTAATTCCTGCCATCCCACAGTTTTGCGAAGGCCTCACTACTGCAAACCCCTTACTTTGTGTGCTTAGAGAGGCATACGAAAACGATAATCGTGTTGCCATTAAATCTCCGATCATCGGTAAAAGTGGCTTATAAAACTAAATAAACTCGGCAGGTTTGATGGTCATTCAAGACTTCGGTGCACACCACTGCAAGTCTAAACCAGTGCATGAATAAGGAAGTTAACATTCAATTGCCTTCAACGTTTTTGATAGGATAGTGAATCTAGAAAGAAAAATGACAAACACTTTCACTCTGGCGTTTGCGCACTTTAACATGTGTACTTATTTCGAATGAAATAAACATCCATCTGCAGTCCATTGAGCAAGAGGCAAATGAGTTTAACAAGTGTTTGCCCAATAAAATTGTTTTTTAATAGCATGTCATTTGTCAGGCAATCACATTAGACCAATGAGTTAAAAAAAACAATTCGAAAATACTCATCCTTTGTTGTAGTGGGTAATGCTTTCCGAATGCACTATGGAGTGTCCTTAACTATTGTATGTCTAGGAAGATGTGAAAGACTTCCATTGCTGCTTTGATAAGCAAAAAATAGTCTAATGTCCTAGTTTCATAGGCATATAGGGAGGCTAGCGACTGACTTATAATAAAATTCACATTCTAGCATATAGGGGTGCTTATATTGAATGACAAGATACGCGTTCAAATGGGAACGTACATGATGCAACGTCGCTGCTGTTGTGAGCATTGCCCTCCTCCTCTTTCTCTTTCACATCACTACTGATATGGTTTGCAATGCTGAAAAGATTTCTGCTATTGCGTTGTTCGTTGACGGTAGTGGTGTTCGTGGAGGCAATGTCGGCGATTGTGGTGGCGGGAACATGACCAAATGAGGATAGCGCAGCTGCTCCTACCTGTGCCAAAAGAAATCGCGCCATAGCGTTGGTTGTGGATACTGGCTCTAAGTTGCAAGGGTCAGTCAGGGAAAAGGGGAACTGAGTGAATTCCTGGGTTGTCGAGGTGAGATTGTAGGGGGAGGGAGCCAAGTCAGGGGGCGCACTACTCCACGCTGGTAAAGTCTTAGTAAAACCCAAGGGGGAAGTAGAGGATTGGCCCTCGGACAAGGGTGAACTGTTGATCATGCTGGAAGTTCGCCATATATTCGGTTTGCTGCCATTTGCGTTCATTTCGAACTGGTAAATGACGTTGCTGTGTTGACTGTGAAGCGGTTGAGTGAATGGCCAATCATTTGAAGGTGTGAAGGCGCAGATGATGGCAATTGGTGCGCCTGCTTGGTTGGAGTCTTGAGCGCTATTGGGCACCGAGGCACGCGCGCGCACGATAAGCTGCCGAACACGCATGTTATATGCAAACAGGATAACACTCAATTCATTGCATAAGGCATCAGCTAGCAAAATGTCTTAGCTGTAGAGTTAACTCAGAGTTTCGCAAGTCAATTAAGCTTCCTTGAATTCACAACGTTTCCCAGTAGTAATTATTCACGATTAACTTCGAACCATGAAATGCCCTAACTCCGTTCTTAACGTTTTTCCACACCAGTGAGTGAAACTTTGCTAGGCATTAATGCTCTCATTAAAAACATGGTTTGATGAAATTTGTTTCAAAACTTAATTGCTTCATTTTCAAATCCAAAAAACGATACTATATTTTAATAATCTCAACATCTTCGAGTCCAAATCCGATTTGGCCTGATAGAGGAGCACTAGAAGTTATTGACATTTAAATCTAGCATTTTTAATGGTTCTTGGTGGTATACAAATTAAATCAATCATGTGGATAGAACAGTTTTAAAAATGAGGCAAATGTAAGTTTTCATGATTTTGCTTCTGTCTGTCTAGTGGCCATCACAATGCCCAGAGTAGTCTTTAAGGTGGTCTCTTGAGTAAATGATTTGCTTGATACCATTCGATTTGCTAAACCTAAATAGATTGTAACGCATTTATAGATTTGAGAGGTCTGCAAGAATTCTCCGGGCATCAGTGAATGTCTGATTGAGGATTTCGATAGCACATGGAGCTGTGCACATTCAAAAAATGTTGATAATCTCTCGCTTACCAACTCATTCCCATTTATATCAGTTATCAAATCGACCACCTCTGATATGTCAAGCACCGTCAATTTGTATTTCAGTGGCCTGTATAGAAGAGCTGCCTCGTAGCCATCATAATGTGAGCATTCTTCAATATTCGTGTGTTTTTTTACCAATATGCATTTGCTGCTTAAGGTAAATCAAAGTAGCTCCACATCAACTCACTAATCACCAATACATACCTGCTGACCAAACTACCCTTACTTCATCTTTTACCCATCTTGACTTTAAATAAACGTTCATTTCATGGGAGATGTTATTTTTCAATTATTTGTGTATTCGTTCAAACTATGCTTCAAAAGTTGTAGCATCCGACTGTACTGAGAAATGCGCCAAAAGACTTCGTTTTGTTGTTGTTTTGTTGCAGAAACCCCCCTCCCCATTTGAGTTATTAATGGACCAAGTTCTATTCCTCCCAGAAGTCTACGTTGAAACGGAAGCACTTAGGCATTCCAACTGGGTGCTGGCACATTACTTCGGACACAAACTTACCTTGGAGCTGGAGCGTATGTTTGGCTGCTGCGTGACCTACTGGGTAAGGGGAGAGAAGTTGGACGGAGTTGCCCTCATGCCTCACCTACGCACTAATAAAACTTCCCATTAAAGTAATGTTGACATGACAGCTGCTTTCTTGGCTGTAAGCGCAAATTGCAACTTCTTGCTTTGCATGCCATTCCGTCTCCTTCTGTTAACACGGCCCAGATTTAGAGGTGGGTGAGTGTAATCGTGGTGACGGTGGCACTTAGCGATGCAACCCCCTACCACCCTCGGTCAAAGAAGAACACATGTTGCCGCACATCACACTGAGCGGCTTGGTTGTGCCTTCCTCCCTCATTTGTTCTTCGATGTCAACGGCAAAGTGGCAGGCTGTGTATGTTTGTGCAACCTAAGGCGTTGTCGCACTTTAATTGGGCTTAATGACAATAGAGCATATACCTCTTCTACTCGCCTTTTATCGCACTCTTTTGACAACTGCCATCATTATTGTTGGTGTAGGAGTGGCAGTGGCAAAGTGTGAGCGTGAGAAAAGTTGTGTAAAAAGCCGATTCTGTGACGGGGTGAGTGGAGTTGTTCTGCGTCAAACAATTAATCCAAATTTTATTTGAAGATGGTGTTTAATTTGCATTCGCTCATTACTTTAGTTAAAGCATAACCTCGTAGGCGCCTCGTGAGAGATTACAGCACCTAACACTTATCCAAAGGAGACTGTCGTGTGACTCATTACGCTGGATCCGTCCTCATACCAGTGCCTGATTATTCATGTATTCAGATGCTTTTAAGAAGTGCCTTAAAAAGCGGGAACTTTGTATAACATCAGGGAGGCAATCAACTACACGGTTAATTGTCTTTGAAAGCCTACATAGGCAGTGTTCATGATGCGTAGGATAGAGATTTAGTAATAAGTTTTAATGTGGAAGAAAATAGAGCATGCTGAAAGGAGATGCAATACACTGCACTGCCGAGTCACAGTAAGGCTTGGCGGAGCGCTTGCAAGACCAGGAAGCCGAATTACCAATTCTACATGATGAGGTACAATGACAGAGCGATGCCGCTTTACCTATGCCGAGTTTGACAAGCAGTTTATACGATACGATAATAATGCCTAGGAAGGCCAAAAGAGATAAAAAGCAATTCTTTGCACTCAGCTATAATTTTAAATGTCTTATCTATAAGGACCTGGTGGTTTCATCACTTATTTTCGTCACTTTCAGTGAAGGAATTTCTTTGAAACTGATACAACCAATCACCCAGATCATAAGACAACGTTTTATTGGTTTGGGTAGTTCGAGCGGCATGGTCCAAGGAATGGTGCTGCTTGTCACTGCGCAATGCAAGACCCCTAAGACGCAGGTGGTTGTGACCAATCAGAAGAATGCTTAACAAGAGCACGGAGTGGAAGGAGTTCTCGAATGAAAACTTCTAGAACATCATGGTAGACGCTTCTATGTTCAGGATTGTAAGCATTTCCAGGACGATTTTCGGTCACAAAATTACCACTATTAACAGCACATGCACCAAATGACAATGTATAGGTGTAATAAAGCTCATTCCTCAACAAAAGTTAAAGTGTCTCGGAACAGCAAATCCTTACGTATCGTGTGAAAGTGGAAGGAACTTCGCAGTCAATTTAGAGATGAGCTGACGGAACGACAAGAAAAGACACCGTTGAACTGAAGCTACTTCAAAATTTAAATCAGTGCCTGTGAATGCTGAAGATCCAAAGTAGTCACATAATGCAACATTGACAACCAACAGTTTATGCAGCTGGGCAGGTACAACAGACATGAATAAATAAGCACTGAAGATTGAAACTCAAGAAAGTTAGGAAGCAAGTAATTTAACGAAGTACAAACTCTGACCATTACTAAGAGCTTCAAAACGTCATTCCATCTAGCAACCCCTGCATTCGCAATTCAAGCGTCTATCTCATCCGGTCGGCACAACATTTGCTAAAAGGAAATGCTACCTGAAGTCATAATTACCTTACATTTAGCAATGAAATCGCTGCGACGTGATCAGCCCAATGATTGTACGAAGTGAAGATGCGCAGGTAAAATAAAACTCAAAAGCACTCTCACCCAATTACTTGCCTCGCTCCCATGGAAAAGTGGCAGCATGTTGTACAAATCATTTATTTTCGTAGACACGTACCGAAATAAGTGTCGAACTTCTTTGACAAAAATTTAGTTATTGCAGCAATAACATCTTCACTTTGCAGCAGACAACTGTTCAGCGGACCAATTGGCCCACAGGTCGCTAAATTAAGGATCGCCAGCGCCTTCGCAGCCACCTTTTTCCCTACTACCCTCTTCATCAATCTCACCATCCGCCTTATTACGCTTCGCAGAGGGAGGTGGTGTGGATAAAAAGAAGCTCTCCAGAGTGGCTCGCTTCTTCACCACAGTCGGTTTGGGTGCCCTAAGACGGCTGGCGGGGACAGGAGAGGGCGAGGACGACGACGACGGTTGAGGTGGCACTGGTGGTGATTGCGATGCAGCAGCAGAGGGCTGCAGGGACTTGCGCTTCATGATGGTGGTCATGGCGATGTCTGTGAGGTAGGGCCAAGGAGGGAAGACGAAACTTGGATCTGTAATTTCATAAGCCGACTCGTCGGTTTTTGGAAGACCTGTGGGAGCCAGCACCGCCTCCTTGTGCGTTCTCAATACATCCGAGCGAACTCGCCACCTGAATTGGTGAGCCAGTAAATGAATCCGTTAATCTGACTCACATCTACCTACCACCATTTCACTTCTAGTGGTATTTGGGTTAGGCCTTACACCGTTTGAGGTGGGGGGAATCTACCCTTTCCACTCGAAAGGAAGTCACCTACATTAACTACACGTTTACTTGCTAATTAATGACTTTGGGAATGTTGATGTCACAAATAAAAAAGACGATTTAAGGTCAAGAAAATTGTCTGGTAAGTCGCCTACAGTGACAAAGACCTACGTCATATTTTTTTTTTCATAGATATGGTATAACTTGAACCTTTAATTGGAAGGGGAATAGATTGAATTAAGTGCCCAATGACGACGTGAATTTGCGAAATCCGTATGAAAAATGATCCACTCTACCTAACCTAAACATGAATCTGAGTAGTGACACCACATTTACGCCCTCTTGGGTATACATTAACACAAGAATCGGATACCGCCAAAAGTTAGTGAAATAACTCAACTCACAGGCCGTCTTCAAAAACAGCGATTTCGCTGATTTTGTTCATAGTCAGTGTCTTGGAGAGTGGGAGACCGTCACTGCTACCCGGCTGTTGATGTGGTCTTATTTCTGCGGGGCGTTGAATACTGAGCACGTTGGAACTCCCAGTCACCTCAGTCTCGGAGCTCTGACTGTACTCCTTATAACAAAGACAACAACTCGGCGCTTCGCCCTTACCAGTCCACGTGTGCTTCAGCCAGAAGACACGAAACTCAAACTGAAGTTTTGCCTTACTCAGCGCGCTCTTGTGAATCAGGCGGATAAGGTAAGGAATGGCTAAAATGCGAAAATATCCGACGTCTGAATAAAGCGGCACTCGTAAGACAAATGTATTGGACATTTAAGAAAACTCACAATCCACAGTAAAGTGATGAAAACTAAGGCAATCAAGAACTTCGTAGCAACCTAGCTCTCTCACAGACCACATCTTATGGCTCTACTAAATTAAGGCTGAATTTGAGCTCTCCGAAGCTAACTTTGGTACGAGTTAGTGGCTTGGAAAGTAGGGACGAACCCTCGGTAGGAAACCGTTTTTTCGACCGTTCCATTGAGGATGATTTGTTTCCACCCGAGGAGATGTCAGTAGTGGAGCCGGTTAGAGGAACAATCGGCAGTATTGCGCCTGGCCATAAGTGAGCCTGAAGGATAACGACGACTAAACTGTTTCACTTCGACTTGCAATCTTCCATCCAAATAAATGAGTTTACACAACCATTCAAGTTGGCACCATAAGGGGGGATAAACATACCCTGTAAATGCACAGACCAGCTCCAGTAAATTGAATTTCTTCTTTGGATGATAACGCCCAGTTTGCAGCCCTTAGCTTTGCACTATCAGAGGCACTTAAGGGAAAACGATTCTCCTTATCGTCATCGGTTGCAAAACATACGGGTTTATATGGGACCTCAGCAGATCTTAAGGCTTCCAAAGGGTCTCGAGTCCACACAGGACCTAGAAGAAGGGGTTTGAGTTTGTGGAGGCTACGGCTGTGCGCTGCCTCATACTCCGCCAAAGAGAGACGCTGTCGCAGGCGCTTCATCTCTGCAGTATCGACACCACTGCCGCTATCATCGATGCCGCTGACACTGCCTTCCAGGTCGTCCTCATCATGAACGCCCTCATCGTCTGAGAGGTAGCCATGAGGGACAAGAAACTTGGCGTCCTCGTCCTCATCATCCTCTACCTCCTCTTCCTCTTCCCCCTTTAAGGTAAAAAAGGTAAAATAGTGGAAATCTGAGTACGTGATGCAAGTTAAAGGCAGCAGCGAATTCATAAGGCTCCGATGACTGACTAGATTACTGCCAGTATTTCTGAGGACAACAAGGTGTGGAATTTACACCAACGTAGTTCGAAGCACTTAGATCAAAGCCGTCCAAAAGAGGCGGAAAAAGTGGGAGAACGAGGAAAAGCAAAATCAGTAGTGTTGATAATGCATACTACACTGCCTCAAATACAGTAATGATGGAAGTTCATCAATCAAAAGGCTTGACATTCAAGACAAATTGGAGGAATGTAAACAAAAGCCCGATTGAGTCTCTATCTATATCCTAACTACTGGACTAAAGCGAATGAGTGTGTATACCTGTGTCAAATGTTCACATGACCGTACTCGCAGCTAACCCCCAATAAATAGGCTGTCACTTTAGTAAGCAGCCTACGTCAGAGTTCAAGGTATCCCTTAAAATAATTGAAACCAAGAAGATGTAACTGTGGGACTACATCAACGCCCTGCATTCTACTAAGGTTTCTTAGATGGTGAATCCTGAGGGTGGTTTTATAAATTGGGGGGAGAGTGGAGAGTAACGAAATTCACTATCAGAGCATACAAAGTGGACAAGTCAAGGCGGACAACATGAAATTATATGGCCATGGAAATCATAATTTTAGGGGATACTAATGAAAATAGCACTTTGAACTGATTTCAACTGTGCAATGGCATCGATTAATTAATTTATCAATTCTTCTCGACCAAAAATGCAAAATATCCACACAACTGGCTACTAGTAAGTTGTTAATAGTCAAAAAATATCTAACATCCGACTGAGAGATGTTTTCTCCCGGCTCCTCTTCCTCCCACTCATCATCGGAGTCGACCTCATAGTCAAGCTGGTAGCAGTCTTTTGTGAAGGGTCTTCGAGGACCGATAGCGTAACTACGTCGACGCCAAGTACCATAGAAAGCAGGACGGTAGTTCTCAAAGAATTGCAGCAGCTTCGCCTTGATCCACACCGTACCCCCATTGCCCGAGTCACCGTGGTTGAAGCGCAAGGCAACCATATTCTGCAACGGTACACCTCCTCCATCTGGCATTTCGCTGTGATGAGTAAAAAATCGCGTAAAACCAAACCATTGCTTGTTACATTGAGTATTGAATGAAAGCTTTTGCACACAGAGAAGTTATGACCAATAACTAGGGTTCCGAAGAACGAAAAATAGGGAAAAAACATGATGTAAAGCGTTGAATCAATGTCTTTATGAACGTCCGTCCTACCAAAATTGAGCACAATAAAAGCAAAGCCGCAATCATTTAAGCACACCGAAAGCGTAACTAGTGAAGCGTAATCAAAACAGAAAATACTAGCAAAATTTACTCCATTCTCCGATTTCCAAAAAAATGAGGTAAGAGATTATTCATTATGACATGCAAACCAAGAGAAACACTTAGTGCTTCGAAATGTCTGCTGACTTACACGGGCCAAGTGGGAGGAAAAGAGAGCGGCTTAACCCGGCCAGTGCGCAGCTCATACAGGTAGTTGGGCTGTCCAAACTTGACCAAGCCAAGGCGCGCGCCATCAACTGCGAATTGACCTGACTGCCAAGAGAGCCGGAGGTCCTCCACATTCTGACGTTTGGCTTGTCTCAACGCCTCCGACCTCAATCGACAGACTGGTGATTGACGCTGATCCTTCTTCAACTCAAATTGCATGAAGGGCGAAGCAGAAACACCGCACTCGTCACTGCCTCTGCCACCACCACCACCGCCGGCGCTAGTAGCGGAATTCTCAAGCTTCTGTTGAACAAAAAAGCCCATCAAAAGGGCGCGCTGCTTTTCCATCTTTCGGCGCTTCTCCTCTTCCTCGCGCGCACGCTCCTGCTCTCGCTTGCGTCGCTGTTCTTCCTTCGCCTTCTTCTCCTCCTCTCTGCGAGCACGCACCTCCTCCTTACGTGCTCGCTCATCTTCCCGTTCACGATCCCTTAGCCGCTTCTCCTCCTCCCGCTTCGCCCGTTCTTCTTCACGTTTTGCTCGCTCTTCCTCCCGCAACAATCTGCGCGCCTGCTTCTCACGCTCTGCCTGCTCCCGCCTCTCTTGGCGCTCTTGACGTTTCTGCTCTTTTTCCTCACGGAGGCGCTCCCGCTCTGCCTGTCTCTCAGTCTACAACGCGTTTAACATAAAGGAAAGTGTGGATAGCCATACGAGACTCAATCACATACCATTTTACAGGGAACAAAACCAGGACAATAGGAGTTTTGTGTTTATTTCAGCGTTCGATTCTTGCAGTTATAAATGTGGTTCCTGTTTACAAATACCCCTTGAAAGTTGACTAGAATTCAGTCAACATAGCTACACGGCCTGTTTCTTAGTAAAGTCACCAAAGATGAAAGACCAAAGGACGGTTCTTCGTTCTCATTCTCCGGCATATCTGACATTGGATCATAGCGTTTTACAAAAATCTGCTCGACACATTCATGACCTGCCTACAGATCAAAATACCGACAAAGGAATTAACGTTACAACAATTTTAATGTTCACTCAAGTGTAACGACATTGGTAAAAAGCTTAAAGCAGAGAAGGATCTATAAATGTCACTAATTTGAGATAAAATGCAGGTGAAATGAAGAAATACAGGGATTACCTTCTCCTTTTCTTTCAGATCGTTTTTCAAAGACATATTGGATTTAGGCTAAAATTAGAAAAAAACATTACCTAGTGAGAGGCAGAACTACAGCATGTCGTAGGAAACTATGAAGCTGAATTTCTTTCGACTTTACCAGCGAAGCTAGACTGAAAAAAGCATAATACCTCGAAGTTAAAATAAATAATCACCAAGGCAAACTACCCGCTTAGAACGGTAGAAAAACACTATTGAAACCGTTCTATGTAAATTTAACGGTCAAATCGTAAGTCTCAAATTATGTAAACATTATTAGCCATCCAAAATCTAGATTATTCGATGTATATGGATAAAATGCACATGTGAAATGTTCGACAAATGTATAAGACAACGGTCGATGCAGGACAGTACTAATGATAACGCTTCAAGAAATAGCACATAAAGGAGTTAGCTTACACCTCGTATTCTCGGGGAATGTCGAAATTTGTGTGAAGTCTACAATGCAAAATGCGATAAGACAGCACTCATAAGTTTGAGTCTGTTACCCACAATTACATATCATCTACCAGCATTAGAAAAGGTAGAAAGCTAAACGCACTAATTGAACATTAGTACGACAGCAAAATAACTTCACTACCAACCTCATGGAGCGATGCGAGCTAAAAATAAACATTCACCAGAACTTCTTTCTAGACCTGACCAAATTCGAAGAGAAAGCATTGACAGACGCAAGGGTTTGCCGGATCTAAGTAACAGAGTGATCGTTCCCTGAAACTAAAGTTGCCACTGCTCTTGACTTAAAATGCATATCTTACTAAACAAGAGGCGTATTAAAATGCAAGATATCCGTAACATCCTGGACCCAGAGGGCCTCACTTTGATCAATCCAAGACTGACAAGGATGACGTTACAACAAAATTAACTCCAGACGATGCCCAAACATTGCAGTTCTTAAAAAGCTTTGAATTGTATCAACAGGGAAACACCTTTTACTGTACAGATAAGATTATTACAGCACAAATTCATTACCTACAAATCATAGCATGTGGTTTTTCACTGTGGAGCAAAAGAATAAGTGTTAATATTAGAACTGAAATGATGGCATGTTTCAGTAGATAAAAATATGAATAGACAGATATTTTGTGTTCGAATAGGGAAGGATCACATACTTCTGCCTGATCAGCCCTTTCAGAGACTTCTTCATTTCCATTTTCCCGCTAAAAGTGAACATTATAGGTGCATGCATCGATTCCGAAATAAGCAAAGCTCTTTGTTGCAGTTAAAATGCATTTGATCGCCAGAATTTAAATGAAGGCTGTTAGATAGCAAAGATACGGACGACACGGCGAAGATCAGTTCTGATGAGTTAAAAAAATTATGGAATAGAGCATCACCTCAATAAAAATGCGACAATACACCCTATCTGGATTTTGAATTTAGATTCAGCCTTAAACAGATTAAAATGGATCCGCTAAAGTACGCCAAACAGACACCTTATAAGTACCATTTCTTGAGAGTTCGAAGAGGAGAAAGCGTATGTTGGCTATGTTACCCAGATTTACTCCAATTTTATTGGCTAGGCCTAATAAACCACCTGTATGCAAACCCTTTTAATGTGAGAAGAAATCACCCAATTGAGGCTTATTTCTAAGTATAAGGACACCACCGTATTCCTATTGTCACATTCACACAGTTTTGTGTCTTCTAACCAGTAATCTACCGTATACATTTCCCTTGCTGTTCGTGTCTGACTAAGTTCGCTCATTCGTCAGCCATTGGTTGAATTTGAAAGCGCTCACTATTTCAACCCATGTGTGAGATCGACTTACTTAAACAAATTGAATTGGATACGAAGTAGTTGATTCGACACTGCATGCTAACTAGCCATTACAACCAAAGTTAAGTTTGCGTATTTGTGCTCGATGCCCACACGCTTCTTTGGCAGCTCGGTTTGCTTTAAGCGTAACAGACGGTTCGGGAGCTTGAATGAACAAAATTCATCCTTGAACAATGCCCGAACTTCATGCGGTATCTTTTTTAATTGGAATTCAAGTAAATCACTGTAACAATTAACACTCTCTGAAGTCCAATTAATAAATCTTATGGTGTTATCGTGTAAGTGAATCGAGGCGCTGTTAACGCAGTCTTGTAATCTCTAGCATTCCGAAGTTTCCCATAGAGTAGAAGAAGGCATAATTGAGGTTGAATACATGTAGTCTGAAGACGACACGGCAAATGGTACCCGAGCGTAGCCCGAAGTCTAGTCCACGTGTAAAGGAGCCAGACGAATTCTAAAGTGACCCCCAAACGCCATGTGGTCACACAAACAAAGCATTATACTGCCCTCCTCTTCTTTTGAGCGACGATCCCGGTGCTCCTCTACGTACACCTCCCGCGTCAGCCACCACAACATTTTCGCTACTACAACCGCGCCAATCGGCAGACAACACGGGACCGAGGAACCGTACCTTGTCTTCTCGACAGCTTCGACTGGATATGGGGTTAAGTTCGGTCTCACAACCAGATTTGGGGGCCGCATACATCTGTTGACCATGAATTGCTTCTAGGACTGGACCGTGTAACTC